GAGGACATGACACTTGATAGGAAGATGTGGAGGTCGAGTATTAGGGTTGTAGGTTAGGAGGTAGTTGAGTCGTGCCTTACTTCGTACCATTGTGGGACTAGCCATATATGATTTTTGTCTAAGATAGCTATTGGCAATGTTGTGGCTTACTATTTCGCTTTTCAGTGCATGTCCTATTTACTAGCTATTGCTTTTGCTTTGCATCTTTCTTCTAGATTTCATGGTGTTCCTATTTTTCTTATGATTGTTGTGGTGATACTAATATTTACTAATATTGTCTCCCTTTGCTTTGCATCTTTCTTCTGGATTTCATGGTGTTCCTATATATTTTATGATTGTTGTTGTGATACTAATATTGTTTCTTTTTTGTCATTTTGTCATTTTGTCTTTTTATTTTTTTGAGCCGAGGGTCTTTCGGAAACAGCCTCTCTACTCCTTCGGGGTAGGGGTAAGGTCTGCGTACACACTACCCTCCCCAGACCCCATTAGTGGGATTTTACTGGGTTGTTGTTGTTGTTGTTTGTTATTCAATGAAACAATACACTATATCCCGCTATTTATACATTGTGACTATGATTAACAAAATAACTATAATTAGCTAACCTACTAACCACCTTCTAACAAACTTAGTATGTACTAATAAATAGACTGAAAAGCCACAATGTTAAAATACTCTAGGATATCAGTGTCAACTACAAAAATTTATTTCTAACTCTAGCTTAATGCTTGATGCAAGAAAGAAAAGAGAGAGAATAGAAAAATAATGAAAAGTTCACTTACTACCCTCTTGAATATCTATGATGATTTCCTCTGTTCTATAATAAGTAGAGGGAGAGGTAACAAAATATATTCTGTCATATTTTTTTGTATGATAAACTGTTATACTAGCAATGTTGGGAATAAGAGTTGGGTGGATAAAACTTTTCCCAAACACGCCTTTATCATTAGTGGATTGGTTCAAAATTGCCCCTCAATTATAGAAAATAGAAGAATTTGTCATTCGCTTGACCTTGATCCCAAATATGCCCTTATCATGAGTGGACTGGCTCATATTTGTCCTCAAAATTAACGGACTTCTAATTTTTTTATTTTTGCCCATTTAAAATTTATTTTATAATTAAGATAGAGTGTTACCTTGCAGGACAATAATCTTAACCCCCAAAACTTATTAAAAAAAATTAACCAAAAAAATTACATATACCCAAGATGGTTAAAACAACTGAAAACTAATTACTCTCCTAAAATTTAACAACAATTAAATAGAACATCAATTCTAGAAAACTAATTATTTTTTCATAAGAAAATAAATAATCTTCAAGAATCCACATATAATTGCAATTGCATAGACAAAAGAGTATTGATCTTCACAAAGACAGAAACTAGGAGAGAGAAAACTTAATAGTTATCTTTTAAGCAAAATAAAATATTTTGTGAATCTCTGCTTTTGAATTTGATATGTATTTGTGGAAAAAAAATTCTATATGTTTGTTTTCCTTCTTCTTATTTTTTATCTTGTTGTTTTAAAAATAGAAGTTAAATACAAATTTTGACCTTAAAATAAAGAAGTTAATCGAAAAAAATGAATTCGGCCAGTATTGATGAGCAAATATGAGCTAGTCCGTTCTTAACAAGGGCATATTCGGTTGCAAATTCAAACAGAGTGCAAATTTGTTCTATTTCCTATCATGGTGTAACGTAAAAGTATATATTTGAGACAAATAAGGATAAATTACTCTATTTCTCATAGTTGAAAGACATTTTTGGCCCTCTTCCGAATTAGTAGATTTCATGTTCTTTTGGCAAGTTGCCACGAAGTTGACGAGGGAGGTAAATGCAACTTAAAAAATTATGAGGGTGCAAAGCACAATGTGATGATCTAATTAAAAGGGGGAAATTTTATTCATCTAAAAGAGCAGGTACAAATATCGAACAATGAAGATACAAGTACAAACATAGCCCCCACAAGTACTGTGTTGCAATTGACAATGGAAAAAGTGGGCGATGATTTATTAGCTCTGATAATCAATAGGATTCATGATCCTGCCTATAGAAAGTCCATTTCTCAAGTTTGTAAGCAATGGTTCAGAGTTGAAGGCTTAACTCGATCATCCGTACGTGTTTTTGAACCCAATCTTGTACTTAATTTCCTTCCAAGATTCCCTAATTTGCTCAAATTTGAATCATCTGAACATATCACAAATACCCATCTTGAAATCTTGGCTGAAAATTGCCCCAGAATCCAAGTTCTTAACCTCTGTTTCAAGAAAAAGAACAGATTTTGTGATGAAATGGATGAAAATTTAATCTTGGACGATTTTGATGAAAATGGTTTGTGTTTTATTGCAAAGATTTGTTCTTGTTTGAATACAGTTAATTTGAGGAAGAGAAGTGGAGTTGGAGATGCTGGGGTTGTTTCTCTTGTTAGCTTTTTGCCAAAGTTAATAGCTTTAGAATTAGGTTTTTGTGATAAGGTTAGTGATGACTCACTTAGAGTTATTGGAAGTGGTAGCTGCTCTTTGAAGAGCTTGAATTTACAGGGTTGTTGGTTAGTATCAGATGAGGGCTTGAAATCATTGGCAGAAGGGCCTCTTAGGATTAGTTTGAAGAAACTAATTCTTGCTGAATGTGATAGGATTTCGGATCGTGGGGTATTGAGTTTGATGCAAATGCGTTGCTTAGAGGAATTGGATTTGGCAGAATGTGGACCGAATGTGACTGATATTGCTGGTGAGGCAATTGCTTCGAGTGAGATTCTTAAGAGGTTGAACTTGTCGTGGCTTGTTAATGTATCTGATGCTACTGTTGTTGCTCTAGCTGAAGGTTGCAAGAATCTTAATGCTCTTAATTTAACTGGCTGTGAATTTGTCACTGGTGAAGGCATTCGTGCTTTGACAAAGCATAGGTCATTGAAAGAGCTTGTTTTGACTAGTTGTGAGAAGCTTAGTGGATATGATTTGGAAGAGTTGGTACTAGGATGCCAGACATTAGAACACATTGTGGTTGATAGAAGGTTGAGGATGTGGGTTCCTTTGGAAGTGCAGGATAATATAATGAGAGAACACTGTTGGATAGATTGGAAATAACAGATGAAATGGGAGAGTTGAATATCTCAGTTGATATGCATTGATCTGTTTTCAGGGTCCCCTCATTTCCTGATACCTTAAGCAGTTGTTTACTTCAGGTGCAATTTCTGCCCAGTTCCCATTATTTATAGCTGAAATGTTCCTTGTAGCAAAACAAATGTGCAGGGTACTTTTTAATGAACTTGGATACCGTGCTATTGGCATGTGCTGCTTAATATTATGCATATACATTTCAATTTGGAGAACGCATATAGCAGATTTTGGAGATATGGTAATTCAAGAATCTCTTCCTTAAGAGGAAGTAAGCAAAAATGAAGGCCTTTGGTGAAAGTAAGACCACTTCGAATCTTTGTGGCTTGCTATATTTTCTCTTAGCTAACCTATTGTGAACACCAGTTGTAATTCTTAAGTAGAAAAAGGAAACAAACATCACCATTCTGCAGCATTATGAACCATGCTTCGGTATAGGTTTCTTGTTAATCCGAGGTTATGCATGATGATGACAGAATGCACAATTCAAATCCTCCATATTCTGTAATTGTTGGAAAGCTGGTGAAGCTCATCTTGTGGAACATCGGGGGGAATGACATCATGTACACCTTTGGAAAATTTCCCATTTTACTAGACTATTTAGGGCTGCAAATCATCCGACTTTCCAAACGTCACAATAAAAGCATATCTTGAAACCTCTTTCCTGAAAAGATTGTACGTGCAACGATGCCGTCCTGCGCTACTTTTCAATGTTTCATAAGCTTCTTTGTGGTCTGGGTAACTGTTCATGAGTTCTCCTTCTTCTTTTTCTCTTATCCTTGTTAGTCAGCTCTCGGATATTGTGGTCGCTGGGTTCATTTTAGACCTAACTGTTCTCTCATATTTGGGAGAACAACTCCAAAGAGGTTTGGTTGAGTGCCAGTCTTTTAAGTAAGGAGTTTATTAAACCACCTGCGACAAGCTATTTCTCCATTTACTGCACAGAGTCTCTTCACAACTTTGGAGGGATGTACTGGGAATACTGGCCAGGCAACTTTGTATAAATTAGTTGGCCTCTTGAGAAGTTTACTCCGAAATGAGCCTGTAGTTGGTCCAGTCTGAAAAGAGAAGCAGTTTGCTTTGCCCTTAACCTTTCAAGTTTAAAATAAGGAAGCATGTGCTATGTACCTCTTATGGGAATGATGACATGCAAAGTTTCTTTTAGGTGTAACAGGTCAAAGAAATTATGGGAAATTTATATGCACCGGAAACCAAACACATAAAAAGTTTCTTCTGATGGTACGAATTGGGAATTGTATGGTTATACCAACACATAGGGTCCAATAGAGGAGGCAACATGCTGAAACACTGTGAGAAAGCACCCTTAGGATGAGGCCTATCAATCAATAAAGTAGGTGCAAACCTTGGAGACTATGATTCAACCCAACCAAGATAAAAATCACTCGGTAATTTCTTTCCATCTGCCTAAACCATAGTTGACAGAGTTACCCGTTACCTGTGCTGGTGGGAGGTAGCAAGTATTCAACATGTTGGCAGAGTTTATAGAATTCAAAATGTTAAACTTGCCACCAGGTTAATAGCATTTTCCAATGAATTCTGCATCATATATGGCTCAGGCTACCAGAGTGGAAGTATGGAGGAGTATAATATGTTTCACCAACAAGATGCAGAGCCAAGTTAACACAAGTTGCTTTCTGCTATCACTTATTGTCTTTTAGACTACACTACTAACGATCTAATTCACTTAAATATATTTTTTTTTTCAATTCTTTTGTCCATCTAATTGTTGTTTGTTCTTATAGTTATTTTTCTTGAATTACATATATAAATTTATTTTAATTTTTCTTTTAGTTTGTGCCTTTCTTCATTACCGTCCGTGTTCTATTTCGCTTTATTTTTTTATTTGCTTTGCGCTTAAAGCTTCAAGAGGCCTTTTGGCTTTTTTTCCTTTTTTTTTTTTTTACCTTTGATAGCACTGTCCTGAGCCAAGAGTTTTTTGGAAACAATCTCCCTATCTTTATAAGGTAGGGGTAAGGTCTATCTACACACTATTCTTCCCAAACCCTACTGTGTGGGATTATATTGGGTACGGAAAAGGGCCTAAAATGCCCCTTTACTATATGTAATAGGACAGGCTAGCCCTCCGTTAAAAGTTGATCTCTATTATGCCCTTGCCGTCAACAAATGGGCTCGTATATGCCCTCCATCACTAACGTGAGACTTATAAAAACACGTGGAATATATGTGAGGGCAAGTTAGACCTAGTTCGAATTGTACAGGGGCATATATGAGTCAATTATAATAGTCATTTCTCAAACACTTCACAACTCCATATCAGTTTACTTAGACACTTATTTGACAACACCAAACTAATTATCATAGTAAATAAACTCAGTCATAGACACAACAAATGAGCGGCAATGACTTCATTAAATCCTTATACACAAACATAATGCTTCATTACATAATAAAAGACAACAATTAAGCCACAATAACACTAACATTAAAGGAGTCCATGCCATAAAATAATTGACAGCAATTCCGCAACGAAACCTCCTATTCGACCCCTTTGAGCTACTAGAACATTCCGACATTGTCTTTTGTTGTCTTTTGCTATGATTCGACCCCTTTGAGTACTATGATTTAATGAAGTCATTGCCGTTCATTTGAATATTTGTGTCTATGACTTAATTTATTTGCTGTGATAATTAGTTTGGTGTTGTCAAATATGTGTCTAAGTAAACTGATATGGAGTTGTGAAGTGTTTGAGAAATGACTATTATAACTGACTCATATATGCCCCTGTACAATTCGAACTAGGTCTAACTTGCCCTCACATATATTCCACGTGGCTTTATGAGTCTCCCGTTAGTGATGGAGGGTATATACGAGCCAATTTGTTGACGACAAGGGCAGAATAAAGACCAATTTTTAACGAAGGGCTAGTAAAGGGGCATTTTAGGCCCTTTTCCGAATTGGGTATGTTTTGTTGTACCTTTGATAGCGCTGGTCACACACCTCCTATCTCCACCCAACAAAGTAAAGGTTACCTTTAAACCTTTGTGGCAACTCTTTTAAACTTAACATTTTCGAAAGTTAACTATAGGTTTATCATTTTTTTAAAATTGGGTTGTGTACACTTAAGAATAGGTGAATTTGAAAAATAGTACAATCATCTCAAATGGCACTTGATTTCAAAACCTTTCTTAAATTTGTCAATAGAAAAAAAAGTTCTGAATGAATTTGAATGCCACTATCAACTGGAATTTAAATATAAACTCAACCATGATGAAAAGTAAAACTCTAGTGTTTGCGTTGTCTATCGGTTCTTTATTCTTTAACTTGGTTAAGAATTTTATATGATATTATCACGAGAAAAAAGACTTTTACAACTAATAATCCACACATTTCTAACAAAATTAAAAGACATCTAAATAATAACTTATTAAAACAATCAGAATCGTTTTATACAAACCAATCCAGTAAAACAGTTACACTTCCTTTTTTAATTACTCCCTACGATCCATTTTAATTTATTTTTTTTGTTATTTTCACACGTATTAAGGATTTAACTTTTAACATTAATTAACAATAAAATTGATCATATTAACCTTAATTTGTTTATTGAAAACAAAATAAATACTCCTAGGCTCTTTACTCCAAAGGTAATTTTGAAAAAAAAAAGTTAATTCCTTCTTGATATTTAAAAAATTAAATATTATGGACAAAAAAAAGAAGCAAAAAAATCAATTAAAGTGGTAAAATTTTGTTCCTCTTAACCACTGGCCAAAGTAAGATTTTTTTGCCAGGTGGGAATGTGTAATTTCACAAACTCTAGGGGTTAACACGACTGCTTACATAAAATAACTCTTTTTTGTGCCTGGTTATTCAAGAAAAAAACCTTTGCAGCATCCTCGTATCTTGATTGATTAGGAGTTGATGTGTCCACTGAAAATCTCATCACAAAAATAAGAATCTCAGAGACGAAAATTGTATTAACAAAAGAAAAAAAATGGCGTATTCATCATCTTCAGTTCGAGCATTTAGTTCATTGCTCTACAGATTCTCAAATGGGGTTTTTCTTAAACCCCACCATTCTTGCACTCTCAAAAGTATATACTCCTCCTATATATTAGCAAAAATAAAATCTGTGTAGCTTTTATTGATTTGGGTTTTATTTCTGTTTGAATGAGCTAATATTTGATTATTTTCTTGCAGGTGCTTTATTATTAAGTGGGAAAATTTCTTCTTCTTCATGTTATTCATCTTCTGACAAATGGGTCTTGCCTTTGGAACTTCAATCTTGCAATTCAGTCAGAAAGATTTGGACTTTTTCTCCTCTCTGTATGGGCAGACGCTCCAGCAAAATTGCTGGCAGAAAGGTATTTCTCTTGCTATTTTCGTGTAAATCATATAGTTCTAATTTTCTTTTTCTATTAGTAAAAAAAGGACATCTTTTTGTGCTTATTAATTCTTTGATTCAAATAATGTTACCTCTGTCTAATCTAAATGATTTGGGATTTACAGAAATTAACTCAAATTTGAATCTTTCTCCGATGGACTTGATTTCATTTGCCAAAGAAAAATGATTTATTAATGAAAGATGTAACCTTCTGGGGCTATCTTATCTTTAAGGTGCTCAGAAATTTATACGCTGAGAATTTGGTAAATCTATGTAGAATATTTTTTTTTTATAAGGAAAAAAATATGTAGCCATACAACAACAACATATCCGGTATAATCCCACACAGTGGGGTATAAAGAACAATAATGAGAGGTTGTTTCCAATAGACCCTCAGATCAGGAAAGCATAAGCACCACAATAATGAAAAGACAGACAAGAAGGAACAACACCGAGAAGCCATATAAAAGCAGCATAAAAAAACAACAAGATATTAAGATGACCAAAATGAAAGAAACGACAAGTAGTCATAGAAACCTAATACCAACAGAATACGAGAGTACGTATTAATACTACCAGTATGAATAATCTAGACCACCTACCCTACTACCCTAATTCTCGACCTCCACACCTTCCTCAGTCAGCTGAAGCTGCGCCATGTCTTATCTAATCACCTCTCTCCACTTCTTCTTCGGCCTACCTCTACCTCTCCTTAGGCCCTCCAATGTCAACCTCTCACACCTGCTCACCGGGGCGTCTGTGCTTCTCCTACTCACATGTCTGAATCACCTAAGCCTCGCTTCCCGCATCTTGTCCTCAATTGGAGCCACACCCACCTTGTCGCGAATAACCTCATTCCTAATTCTATATTCTTTTTGATGAATTAAGGTATTGCATTATAGGCATCAAAAAGGATACAAAAGGTTACAATAGAAAACTTGGTTAACTCTTGATACAAAAAACCATTCTAGAGCAGGGAGTTAACCAAGAGCAAAAGGGAATGGCTACTAAACCATTGAGAGAGAGCTAATGAAATCTAAGAGGGGAATAATGTCATTTACAGGGGAAAGGTTACTCCAGCTGAAACGACTCATCAAACATTTAGACTTAAGGTTACAGTTGGAAGTTGAAATGCCATCAAAACATCTAATTCTATATGTAACTATGTAATTTTTTTTTTTTTAATATGTAGAATATTAAGTGGCTAGTACTGTTTAGGCATTGTGATTCCATTGTTATGTTGTGTCAGCATTCTAGGAAATGTTTGTTTGTGTGACTTTGAGGTCTCTCTGTGATGCATTTTGACCTTATTTGACTATAGTAGTAGAAAAGTTGATGTGTTTCGTGAATCGTGAGGATAGATAGTCCCAACAACGGACTAAGTAGCCAATATTTATGTGTAAACGATGTAGTGTATTTTATCTTTATAATTCACATGATTGTCCAGCAACAGTGTTTGGAGTTAGCACAGTTCTAGTGTTATGTATGTTGGTTTAAGTCAATGGTTTTTATGTGCAGACTGCCCAGGATCTTAAGAAGGCAAAGTTGTACTCAAAAATTGGGAAGGAAGTTGTTTCTGCGTAAGTTATGCAACAGACAAATAGTTTTTCTTCTAAATCAAGCTTGAAATGAATGGAAGATTCCTTTCTTCTCCAAATGGAACTTTTGAGCATTATTTTGATGCGAGCATGAACCAAATGTCCTGACGTCTGTTTCTGTGACTGTTATGATTAACTGGTGGAAATGAGTACTGTTTCCTGAATGACCAGGGTTAAGAAAGGTGGTCCCAGTCCAATATCTAATACAGCTCTCGCTGCTCTGATCGAGAAAGTTAAGGAGCTTGATATACCCAAAGACATTGTTGAGCGCAATATAAAAAGAGCTTCAGAAAAGGGACAGGAAGCATTTATGGAGAAGATCTATGAGGTGTTGAGACATTTAAACTTGCATGCATTTGTTATCTAATTATCAACCATGTTTACACATTTACCTTTTTGCTACTCTTGATTATTGCAATTCAATGAACTTTTAACCCTTGCTCTATACCCAGGTATATGGTTATGGTGGAGTTGGTATCATCGTTGAGGTCTTAACAGATAAAGTAAACAGGTCAGTGGCAGCAGTTCGAGAGGTGGTGAAGGACTNTATAACATTTAATTCGTCTAATTTAGTAGCTCTTGTTAGTCTTTTGAGAGGGAAATACTGTTTTAACCATGAAATTTTACAAAAGGAATTTAATAACTGATGTGTGAATAGTTGACCTTTTGTAAGTACAATCATAGAAATGGTCCATGAGTTTATGCAGCGTGTGGCTATAAGAGATCTGCATAGCATTTCGCTTTCTGTTTCTGATTACTCAAATCTTTAAAAGGCTATTGTTTATTGAAAAACAGAAGAATATCTAAAATCTCATGAATGTAATATTAAACATTCAAATTTCAACCTTCCAAGATCAATTTTTTGCTTATCCAAGAAGAAGTATCAGTTGAGCTGTTTCGATATGATTTGATATACAGTTCATTTATTCAACCAATTAGTGGAAGTGGCATTGCTTAATTCTCCATAGTCTTGATTTGTATAGTGAAAGGGTTTCTAATAATTACTGTTGGATGCATGTTTACTTTGTAGACATGGCTGTTTGAATGTCAATTTTATGATTATGCATGCACATAGCCATAAGGGCTATATATTTCCTCAAGTTCAATCCGCTTATCTATTTTCATGATCAAAGTGAGGAATCTTGTGGATTCAACACCAATCACAAGGATAGTTGTATAAATCTCCGCACATGTACAAAATAGAAACTTTAGAGTTTAGCTACACCGGTATTAGTCCTGCAAATGTATAGAATTCCATGAAAATATATGGATTTTTAGAAAAGCCTGTGGTCTAGATGGAATTTTATGAAGGTTTAGAAGTGCCTTAAAAAGCAGCGCTTTTAAAAGCCATTGCATCGCCGAGCAAAGTGATAAACGAGGAGTTATTGCTTTATGGTGATGCCATGCGCTTCAGACAATGAGGTGTGAAGTCATCCAGTGAGAAACAATCGATTCTTTGAATATCATTTTAAAAGATGAGAAAATAAATGAGAGGGTGGGGCGAAGGGATTGATGTTCTTTTGCAGTTTTGAGTACTAGGACTGATCTCCACACAGGCTCTAATGCCCTCTTTGTTGTTGTCTTTCTCTTATTCTTCTCGAGTTTATAACGGCTATTTTCTACTTGTGCTTTTTTTTTTTTTTAAAAAGCAATCTGTTTTTCTTAGTTGCCTTTTGTTTTGTTTTTGTTTTTGTTTTTTCAAACTAATGATTCTTTTTTTTTTTCTTCGAATATGTGAGTCTTCTTGCTCTTCTACTTTTTATTTTAGGCTTCGCTTTTGCTTCTCTCTACTGGCCTCTTAGTACAGTTACTAAAGTAATCAAATATGGATTTGTATGTTGCAAATTAGTTCTTATTATGGTTGTTTAATTGAAAATAAGAAAATTATTTTTTTGACGGAAGTTATCTTTTAATGGCCTTGTTGAAAAGATATATTTTATCATGCTTACTTTTGAGTTAGACTAATATCGTCATTATGGTATATCAAATGCTAAAATTATTAGTTTTCTTGCAATACGATTATCATAAGCACAAGTTCCAAGTATGTTCATAAGTTTTTATTATTGGTAGACTTTGCGCTTCACTTCAGAGAAGCGTGCACTTTTCACTTATCCCTTTTTGCTTCATTCCGCACGTACCTTTTCTTTTTGTGCTTTTCACTTTTATAAAAGGCGAAATACATAAACGGCCCTTTAAAGTTGTCCTCAACGATCAGATTGACACCTCAATTATGCTAATGACCAGACAAGCACCTCTTCTCGGCTAAAGTGTGACTCATGAACCCCTCACGATGACATGGCAAAGTGTGTGCTTTTTATTCACGTCTGGGCGCGTGAAACCCTCAAAATTAAGTTTTTTGTCTTTTTTCTTTTTAAATTAACCTCATTTTATAATGACCCCACTTACCTTCATCTTCATACTTCTTCTTCTTCAAGTTTTCACCATTGATGAAAAACAAGAACAATTAAAAAGTTTCTTTCAAATTACAGTAAATGGGAAAAACATAAAATAAGCACACAATTTCTTCCAATATATACTGTCACAATTGCTTATAGAATCAATCATAAGCATTACCGTAATAATTAATTGGATAAATCAAATTTCACACCATTAAGGTAGAGGAATCATGTCTGAGATGAAATTTACAGCAGTACTCAATAGAGTAAATTGAACCCTCTAAAAATTGATGCTTTAACTAGAATATTCTCCCAAGAAGAATAGGTTTTTTTTTTTTTTT